GAGACATTTCTTCTGTGAACTCACTCACTTTAAAACTTGGCAATTCGTCCAGTCAGCGCTGATGGCGTGTCTCCTGTGTGCCAGACCATGCCTGGGCACTGTCCCCAGTGCCTGAAAGCATCAAAAACAAGATGCTCTTAAGGAGCTCAGAGATTAGCCAAGAGCCAAAAATAGCATTACAACATCATGTACCAAGGTGTTATAGAAACAGAGGAAGAAGCAGTTGATCATGCCAAGGTGTTGGTGGAGGGATGCAGGCAAGAATTTTCCACAAAAGTGTCACATCCGAGTTCAGTCTTAAAGGAGGAGTAAGAAGTGCTGCAGATGCAGGAAGCAAAAGGTGGCCTTCTAGGCAGCAGAAACCATATATGCAAAGGCAAGGCGACGTGAGAAACCATGGTGTGTGTGAGGAACTTCACAAAGTTGGTTATGACCTGAGAAAGGTCAGGCGTGGTGGCTCACACCTGTTGTCCCAGCTACTAGGGAGGCTGAGGTGGGAGGATGGCTTGAGCCCAGACGTTGGAGGCTGCAGTGAGCTCTGATCGCACCACTGCACTCCAGCCTAGATAACAGAGCAAGACCTAAACAGATTTATTTTCTAGAGTCTTAAAAGATTGGAGCTATAATCTTCTGTAGCAAATTTTAAAAAAAAATTTTGAGTCTGTTCCAGTCGGTAGGCTCAATGTAAAACCATGGTTGGCAGCCTTTTATGCATTATCATAAATAATTTCAACTGTTTCTCAACTGAGAACATATTAAAATTTTTACATTCATGGAGAAAATGGGGTTTTATCTCTTTAGTTGCTTCAGTTAAAAGAACTGAAAGGTATGTAAAAGGAGTGAGGGGACAAGTCCAGTCAGATCTTTCTAGGCATGACCTGTATATAGAATAACTACTACCTTCTTGTTCTGTTGTCACTCCCAGAGTCCCTGTCACCCCTGGGAGCTACTGCTTTTGTGCCACAGGAGCAGCTGTTGTGAAAGTCCTTCCTAGTGTCTCCCATGACTTCTTACTCCTTCCTGAGGTCCCACCCCATGGTGGGAGGGCTTCTCTGGGGCACCTTGATAAGCCCCTGAGAACCTTGTCCCTGCCCCTATGCCCTCCTCCGTCCCTACCCATCTCTCCACTGGCACATCCTTGGACCATACTCGGGAGCCCAGCTGAAGGGAGGGCTTGGGCTGTGGTTGCTTGGTTTGCAAGAGGAACTGTGTTCCTCTGCGTCGCAATTGAAACTTAAAACTCAGAAGGAGGCTTCTTATAGAAACCCTTTGTAAAGGGTGATTCTATCCTATTATAGTATGATGATAATGGGTTAAATACCTTTTGTTGGTTAATCTGGGAATCTAGCCATCCTTTATCAAGTGGGTTGAATGGCATTTATTTTCTGGCAGTTTGTTTTGCTCTCTCTTGTTCTTAAAATATCATTGGGGGGAAATGTACATAGCCCACAAGTAGCTTACAGCCTAACTAGATGGACTCTCTAAGAAGCAGCATTTGGATCCGTGTCAGCTTAATTTGTTTTTCAATTCCAAACACCACGTAACACATTTTTCCCCCTCCCCACCAGGCTGATTTTTACACCAACTTTTCTGGGGTGAATGAACATACACCAATAACCTATAAGAACTTTGTGAACTTTTCTGATATTTTCCAATCTAATGAAGAGTATTTCAGGAAACTAGAAGAACTGAAGGCTGCCCACATAGAAACTATGGCAAAATTAGAGAAAATGTACCAGGATAAATTAAATATAAAGGGAGTTCAGCCAGCAATCGTCAAGGAAGATGCTCTTAGTGACTCTTCTGGGTAAGTTTGTACTCAATGTCATTTGTGGACTATAAAAATGTATACTAGAAAGTGCAGAACAAAGTTATTTCAGAATATTTTCTCTTAAATATTCCTTTGTACTCTTAGGTTCATCCCACAGAGGTGGGATTTTATTCAAAATGTTTAATGATTTGTCAGCTTACTAGGTGACCTCTTATTTTGAGGGTCATTTGGTGGCCATTTTGGTCTCTTCTCTCTGACTTACCACTCATAGAACTGTAGAAATGTATCAAAATACTTAGTCCGGGCCATCTTAAACGATGAATATTAAAGTTTAATTTTAAAAGCTCTGTATAATATGTGGATTAACATGAGTTCATTAAAGATCTAGTACAAGGCCGGGCACGGTGGCTCACACCTGTAATCCTAGCACTCTGAGAGGCCGAGGTGGGTGGATCGCTCAAGGTCAAGAGTTCGAGACCAGCCTGAGCAAGAGCGAAACCCCATCTCTGCTAAAAAATAGAAAGAAATGATCTGGACAACTGAAAATATATATATAGAAAAAATTAGCCGGGCATGGTGGCGCATGCCGGTGGTCCTAGCTACTCGGGAGGCTCAGGCAGGAGGATCGCTTGAGCCCAGGAGTTTGAGGTTGCTGCGAACTAGGCTGACGCCACGGCACTCACTCTAGCCCGGGCAACAAAGCGAGACTCTGTCTCAAAAAAAAAAAAAAAAAAAAGATGTTGTACAAAGAGTTTAGCACTAGGAGACATGAACCTGATTTACGTTTTCAGAATAGTCTGCAATTTCGAGACATTTCTTCTGTGAACTCACTCACTTTAAAACTTGGCAATTCGTCCAGTCAGCGCTGATGGCGTGTCTCCTGTGTGCCAGACCATGCCTGGGCACTGTCCCCAGTGCCTGAAAGCATCAAAAACAAGATGCTCTTAAGGAGCTCAGAGATTAGCCAAGAGCCAAAAATAGCATTACAACATCATGTACCAAGGTGTTATAGAAACAGAGGAAGAAGCAGTTGATCATGCCAAGGTGTTGGTGGAGGGATGCAGGCAAGAATTTTCCACAAAAGTGTCACATCCGAGTTCAGTCTTAAAGGAGGAGTAAGAAGTGCTGCAGATGCAGGAAGCAAAAGGTGGCCTTCTAGGCAGCAGAAACCATATATGCAAAGGCAAGGCGACGTGAGAAACCATGGTGTGTGTGAGGAACTTCACAAAGTTGGTTATGACCTGAGAAAGGTCAGGCGTGGTGGCTCACACCTGTTGTCCCAGCTACTAGGGAGGCTGAGGTGGGAGGATGGCTTGAGCCCAGACGTTGGAGGCTGCAGTGAGCTCTGATCGCACCACTGCACTCCAGCCTAGATAACAGAGCAAGACTCTGTCTCTAAAAAATAAAAAGAATGGTGATTAAAAGTAGGGAGAGGTCAGAGGTAAGACTGAAAAGGTAGGCAGGGGCCAGTCTTGAAGGGCTTTACAATCTAGACTTGACTTTGTAGCAATGAGGAATCATTCAAAAGTTTCAAGCAGGAGAGTGACATGATTAGATACATATTTTTTGTCTTTTGTTTTCTGTTTTTTTGAGACGGAGTCTTACTTTGTTGCCTGGGCTAGAGTGCCTTGGCGTCAGCCTTACTGACAGCAACCTCAAACTCCTGGGTTCAAGAGATCCTCCCGCCTCAGCCTCCCGAGTAGCTGGGACTACAGGCATGAGCCACCACGCCTGGCTAATTTTTCCTATTTTTAGTAGAGACGGGGGTCTGGCTTTCGCTCAGGCCGGTCTAGAACTCCTAACCTCAAGCGATCCTCCCACCTCAGCCTCCCAGAGCACTAGGATTATAGGCGTGAGCCACCATGCCCGGCCCAGATATATGTTTTAGGATGATGACTCTAGAAAGAGTAGAGTAGAAGTTAGACACAAGGAGCCTCTGCCATCTCATGTTCCTCCCCTATACAACGAAGGAATCAAACTACATAATTTATAGGAATCTCCCAGCTCTATTCTAAATAAAGTGGTAATTTCTAAAAGTCCGATCCAGATCCTGCCTCTAACTTATTATACTTTGACCTTAGAAAATATTTAACTCTATCTTAATTTTTATATTTGGTCACATACAATTGAAAGTGTAACCTAATTATTCTTCTTCCTTAGATCTGTATCAGAAAAGAACTCCTATCACCCTGTCTCCTTAATGGCATCGCTTTCTGAGCCTGATTTAGGCCGGTCTTCCTCCTTGTCTATGTCTTCCTCTGAAGAGGAATTGCCCGACCTAGAAAAAGACTATCCTGGGAAAAATAGAGTGATGACCTTTGCTAAGGAGCTCATCAACAACATGTGGACAAACTTTTGTGTTGAAGATTACATTCAGTGTAAAAATACTGACTTCCAAGCCGTTGAAAAAACAAGGAAGAAACCAAAAGAATGGGTGCCCACAATTACAGTACCCGAGCCTTTTCAAATGATGATTAGAGAACAGAAGAAAAAAGAAGAGGCCATGAAATCTAAATCAGACATTGAAATGGCACGTAAACTGCTCAAAAAACAAGAAGAAGATTCAGAGTGTAAGAAGAAATTCCGAGCCAATCCAGTTCCTGCATTTGTCTTTCTCCCCCTTTATCGTGATTTAGTCAAGCAAAAGGAAGAGCGGAGGCGGTCTCAGAAAGAGAAAAGCAAAGCAGCTCTTTTGGCCTCACAAAAGCCATTTAAATTTATTGCAAGGGAGGAACAGAAGCAAGCAGCCCAGGAAAAGCAGCTGACAGACTTTTTTAAGTCTAAAAAGAAAACAAATCGATTTAAAGCCAGACCCTTACCTCGATCTATTTACGGTTCAACTACCAATGACAAGTTAAAAGAAGAAGGGCTCTGTGGAAACACTAGGGCACGGCTGAGAGCCCAGGAGCTTTCACAGAATTCGTCCCCTCTGCCTTCTAGGCCAGCTTGCCGCCTCAGGAGCCCCAAGGGTCCCGAACAGGCTGTAAAATCGAAGTGTAAACACAAGGTTAAGTGCCGGACTTCTGATATTGAAGACCTTCCTGAGAGATATCAGAAACACCTCCCAGAACCCAAGTGCCCAAAACTCTTAACAGTCTGTAAACCATTTGATCTTCGTGCATCTTCTCGTGCATCTACTAAAAGAGAGAAAATTTTGGCAGACATTAAAGCAGATGAAGAAAATTTAAAAGAAACACGTTGGCCTTATTTGTCTCCAAGGCGTCAGTCACCGGCAAGAAGTGCAAGTGCAAAGCCTTTGCCTTGTAGCTGCAACCCTCCAATGCCCACAGAATCTTCCAGAGGACGAGAACAAGCCATAAGGTAAATAACTAGGATGCAGTACTGACTGACTCATGGTTGCTAAACTGGTGTTTGCAGCTCTGTTGATTTTAGGTTGGTAAATTTAGAAATATCAAGAAATTATTATTGTATCTGTAAGATATTTTACTATAATATATAAAATTTTGCCAGAGGGTAGTGTTCTAAGAAATGAATGTATTTTTCGTTTCATAAATCTTTGAGTATAGAAAAGGTTACAGTCAACCTTGATATGATTTCCAATTTCACAGTCAGATCCTTCTCAAAAGGTTGCCTTTTTTCAACCTTTGAATTTATCCCCTGTTAAATCTTTGCGAAACAATGTTCTCGTTGGCTTAAAGTGAATTAAGCCTTAGTTTGTTGCCCTCAGGAGATCACTTGAGGAAAAGAAAATGTTGGAAGAAGAGAGAAATCGGATCCTAACTAAGCAGAAGCAAAGAATGAAAGAATTGCAGAAACTCCTGACAACCCGGGCTAAGGCTTATGACTCACATCAAAGTTTAGCTCAAATATCTAAATCCAGAGTAAAATATCTCAGGTATCATGAAAGAATCCTGAATCTTCAGACCCCTGGTTTTCAAACTTACTTTCTTTTTTTTTTTTTAAATCAGCAGATACCAAAATATGAACAGATTGAGAATGGTATTAGCATTTTAGTTTCTGGATTCCAGTTATTACTTATACTCAGCACACATATACACACACTCACCTCATGGTGAGAGCCAATGTATATACTCACCTCCACGGTGAGAACCATGAAGCTGTGTTGAACAGAGACATTTTCTTTTATGGCCATAGTTAATAGCTATAATCTGATTATCAGCATCTAATCTTTTTCTTTATATTATTTTTGATTGCACAATAAATGCAGTATTGGGAAAAATCTTTTCATTTATTATTTTTTTAGTTAGACACAGGACCAATGCAGAGAAAAATCTTGATTTGCATAGATAAAGCTCCTTTTTTAACAGCTTGCCATGTAATCTCAGAGTATTTTTCAATAATAAACAGGTATGTCAAAGAGCTTTGTTCTAAGGTATGCGTGAAATCTGATAGCACAAATTAACACGTTGGGGTTATTAACATCGATTATGTGATGTGTTAATGTTTAGCAGTATGTGTTATATTTTTGTTATCGTTTCACTATAAAAAATAAAAATATTTGTAGAATCCCTAGAACCCCTTCACAGAACACTAGAGTTCTGCAGTACAAAGTTTGAAAACCAGTGTTCTAGATGTTACACATAAAAATGTTTAAGTAGGAAAATATCTCCCCCAAAGTCAGGTAAGTAATACGATTTCTTAATTTTTAATCTTTTTTGTAAGAACCAAAAGATATGTATTTGCTTTTTATTACAGTGAATATTCCTATATAATGTAGCATTAATTCATTGATAGAGGGAGCTTTATTTGATGAACTTGAACAAAACATTCCTTAGAAATATACTATTTACCCTTAGGAAGTAAACTAGCTTTTTCATAACACCAACTTGTGTATAATTAAGCATAATTATCATTTTAAAGTATATTTTCTCTAATCCATAAGATCTTACTATCTCAGTAGCTTTAGTATATCTGATTTGGAAAAAACAGCATAATTTAATTCATTATAGGATGTTGTCCAAAGAGTAAGTATGCTTATGGTAAATTAACGTCTTTTGGTTCCTGTTCCTCCTTTCTCCCTTGATATGTTCCTGTTGAATTATTAATAATTTTGCCACTAATCTTTAAGAGATGTCATTTTGGGGAAAAAATAAGAGCAAGGTTGTCTCATGTTCAGAAGAAGTTCCTTAAAGAGAAGATGTAGTTTAGACCAAAATTTTCTTGGTCTTATGCAGTTATAAATGAGATAAGACGGCCTTCATTCTTCTCTTCAGGCCAGTTTGAAGCCCCTGAATGCATTATGCCTTGAGGATTTCAGAAAGCAAAGTATTCAAACTGTTCCCAGGGCATAAAATGTGTGTTTTCAAAACCTAGGATTTTTATTCTGCATTCCGTAAGTAGTTACCTGTCTAGAAAAGGAATTGAAGTAAACTGTAAACTGCGCTTGTAATTTCTGATTTGTCATCTAAGCTAAATGTTATATGTGCAAGTTCTTATTTCTTAGATGACCTTTTAAAATCCCATTCCTTTTATTTAATTTTAGAAAGAGTGAAAAGGAAAGGATGAGAGAATATCGACGAAAACTAGAAGAAAGAGAAGAAAAATTAAAAAACAGGCCACTACTATTTGAAAGAGTCGCTCAGGTTGTGTTTGTTGGAATTTAAGAGCTATTATCAGCTTTTTTCCCCAACATCTTCAGCTCCTAAATTTATAGTCCATTTTTCTTACGTGTTATATAATTATTGAGATATATTATTGTTGTCTGTGAGAGCTTCATCAAATCAGCGAAGTAAGTAATTTTGCTTAAAATCTGAGTATTGAATCTTGTTGATGAGGCTTGATAAAGAGCACGCTGCCTATCCAGTCATTCTCAAAATATTCGTTTCACAACCTGTGTTTAACGGCTAGTCGTTTTTCAGTACCAATGTGGTGAAATATTAAGGTGAGCCTTCACAATATCATTTGGAGGTCTTTGAAGAATTAAAAAAATGAAACAAAATGGCTATCGAATCAGATTTATGTTTTTTTTTAAAGTTAGTCTATAATTCAATCTTCTCTGTAATTGTTAAAAGGACTAACTTCCTATAGGGAAAACAAACTGGTCTTATGGATGGTGGACTCTGATTTTACTAAATTTACACTCAATTTTACAACGGAGTAAAACTGGAGATTTGTCAATTTCAGGCCATCTTTGTCCTCATAAGGGAGGGGTTTGTGTGGGTGACATGGCTTAACAACAGACAAAATCACTGGAGGTTACAGGTGCTATGTTGTGAATTTCAAGCTGTTACAATTGGAGAGTAGACAGTTGGAGCAGGAGCACTTACCTGTGGCAGATGAGCATAGTTACGGGACTGTACTTGTCAGTTACTGCCGAGGACAATGGACGTGTGTTGTGGGTGAATATGCACATTATAGTCTCTCAAAGTTATGGAATCCTTTCACTTACTGATTTGAATATAATTTTATATAATGCCTCTCATTTTAAGGGGTGGATTTCTTTTAACATCTCAGTTTCAACTTTAGAGGAAAAAAATCATTTTAAGGTGTTCGGTATTGTACAGCATAAAGTGATTGACACTTGGCTCAAAGATGTTATCTCCAGCTCTGAACTGCAAGATTTTATGTCCACTTCTCTAGTGATCTCTACCTAGATTTCCCATAGGCATCTTACATTCATTTTTACCCCCAACTAGATCCATTTCTTGATTTCCTACTTTGGTTGGGGACGTAATTTAGATGACTGGGAGCCACTTTGCCTGCCTGTGACCTCCCCAACTGGTCATACTAAGTTTTATTCCTTAGTAATTTTTGGATTTGCTCTTCCAACCATCTGTGATGGTGAAATGCGAGATGAAACCTCTATTATTTTCTATCTGAATTACTATAATAGTTTGACCGGTCTTTCCACTTTGCTCTTTGCAGAGACATTCATTATATCTTCACCTTGCCATTCCCATTCCCCTGCTAAAATGTTAACCCTGGTCAGGCAGTTAATAACCCTTGGTAACAGGAGCAATCATCCTTTCTCATGGATTTCATTCATTCTGATTTTCAATGAATGGTACCAAGGAGTCTTGTCATTAATTTCCCCAAACAATACCATAAGGTAGGTCTCCCTATATTACAGGTAAAGAAACTGAAGTTCAAAGAAGGTAGGTCACTCATAAGGTTTATGATTAGTAAATGGTAGAGCAAGGATTGAATCCCAAATTGATCTGCTTCCGAACACTCAACCCTAAGCTGTCCTGCTTTCTCCCAGAAAATAAATCTACAGTTCTTGGCATGGTATACAGAATCCTCTGTGATCCCTGTTAAACTCTTTAGTCTATCTACCACTGCACTCACCCCGCCTCCTCCCCCCACGTATACCCTTTACATTCAGGACTTTCCAGACTACTAGATAACTAGTTTCAAACTTGAAGTCTTTATTCTTGCCATTCTTTAAACATCCTTAGAGCTTCTTCCTATCTTCACCTAACTCTTGCTCTTTCAAGCCTTAGTGTACAAACACTTCTTGCGTTGTTTCTCCAGGGTGGGTTGGGTGCCCTTTTCCTCTGTGTGCTTTTAGTAGCCTGTGCACACAGTCTGTCTTTGCTCCTACTGCATTGTGTGGAAATATTTGTGAAATAATCTCTCTCTTCCCTTCTAGCTAATTAATTTTAAGGGTTGATGTCAAACCTTTGAATTTCCAGCACCTAGCACCTAAGACAATGTCTGGCACAGTGGAGATGTTAATAAATATTTGTTAAAAACAAAACTGAATGATTATGATCAAATTAGCCAGTTAATGACCTTACATTTTCTTTCTGGGGTTAGCCCAGGCTGCAAGCACTACTTTGACGTATTTGTGATGACTCTCTGCATTAGTAAGCGGTTTTGTCATGCTGTGAATTCCACCGTTTCGAAGCACCACAGAAAATGTGGCAAAATAAATGGTGTGTATGAAATTAAACCCATAAAGAAATTTTAAGTGTTGAAAACATACATTAGTTTTATAGCTGATACTTCTTCCACTTTTGGCCCTCACATATGCTGTTCCCTTTGCCCATAACTTTTCTTCCCCCATTTACCCCCTACCTCCCATGAGGGCTTGGTACAGACTAAGTGTTCAGTAATTATTAAATAAATGAAAGAATTAACTAGAAACTAAACTTCTGGTTATAAAAAAAGTTTTTTCTCTTAAACTAGGTACTGATTATAGACAAACTTTCATCATCTTGTATTATTTTAGTTTCTGGAAGAAAAAGAAGCTAATCTTTTTTGGAGAGTCTTTGATAGTAAAATAAAATAACCGTACAGTTATTTTAACTGTTCCTTTTATTTCGTAGTCTTTACAGGTCTTATGCATGGTAAAATGCAGAGGGGCGATATTTGCTCCAATTAAGAAAAATAATACATTATTCACCTTGATGTAAAATATTAAAAGGTTATTAATTCTACATATGGAGTGACTATGGCAGTGAATCACTATTGCTTTGGTTTTGTTAACATCAGTTAGAACATTTTTTTCTTGCAGTCTATTTTGCTGTGACTATCCCTGCTAATTAACAGCTGTTATGTAATAAATTTATTGCAACTTTATGCATTGCCCATTTACAGCAGTTAATTGTAGTCTCACTGCTATTAAGTGATCCCCTAGCAAAGTATGTCTGTGATCCATTATAGAACAAACCATGTTGTCTTCTTTCTTGGAAATCACGGGGTTTATTAACTGAGGAGATGTTAAATTGAATTTTAAACCAAATTCAGATGGAGATTTACTAGCATTAACTTTGATTTTTAGTGTCTTTTGAATCTCTTTTATGTTTAATTTGCTTAAATCAGAATATACTGTCCTTAATGCATTAAGAGTTAGGTTTGGGGTTTCTTTAATCTTTTCTGCAATCTTTGATCATACTTCTCATTTCTCACTTTGCCCTGCCTTTCAGTTTTCCGAGGTTTGTCTATTGGTATTCGCAGACTCTGGATGCGTTTTTACTTACTTTCCTAAAAATTGTTGTTATTCACAGTGGGTGCAATTTAGCAGCCGTTTGAGTGCTCCCTTTTTCAGTTTTCCAGAGTATCAGGAAACGCACTGTGATAGTTTTATCCATTGTAGTCATTCTTTGCTATTTTGGTTTCTCCTGTGGAACACTGGATTCCATTGTCCCTCGTTATGCAGGAGTCCCCTGGTTAGGCACGTATCTGACAATTGCACTGCTGAAGTCAGGCTTTAAGCCACCTTCAAACTCTAGAACGACCACTACCACTTAGAGCAGCATGATGGAGTGGGAAGGACCTAGGAAAAGGGTTAAGAGACTTGATTCTATCACTCACTAGCCTTATGACTTTAAGCAAACCATTTAACCTGGAGGGGTGGTGGTCTTGGTTTCCTAATTTATTAAGTGTAGAGGTTAGACTGGGTGCTCATCTATGCCCTTTCCAGTATGGGATGCCTACTGGTGCATTGGAACTGGGCCTTTCCTAGTCACCTTGCTTTCGTTGGAGATCTAAAGGGCAATTCTTGGCCCTATACTAGTCCACATCCATTCACAGAACTTAAAAGTAAAGTTGATCTTCCCTTTCAAAAAAAAGAAAAGAAAAGAGAAAGGAAAAAGTAAAATTAAGGCCCGAGTGTGAAGCCAGTCACCTTGTGGCTCCGTAAAACCTGTGGTCTCAGGGACTGTGAAGACTCTGACTCGCTCCAAGTACGAGAGGGTCAGCACAACTCCAGCAGATCCCAAAGCCAGGAACTAACATTCTGGAGACTGGAACCCAGTTCTAAATCCATATTCTTTTTGCTGTCTCCCTTGGTTCTTCCGCAGAGTAAAGATAGCAACACTGATGATTTTATCACCTTTGATGGGTTGGGGATTTGGCTTATAAAGAGTAAAAATTACAGTAGCACATAAAAAACTCTCTGACAACTGGCTCTCACAGGAACTTATTTTCTTATTTTTCTAGATAGATACCTTTCTGTAGTCCTAAAAGTATATAAAACCTAGGTATAGTGAAAAAAATAATTATAGATCAATACTCATGTGGCTACCACCAAGCTAACAAATTGTATTGTTAGACTAGCACCCCAGAAATCTCCAGTGTGCCCCTCAGATCACAACTTCCTACCTCTCCCTAAGAGGTAACCACTGTTCTAGCTTTTGAGATAAGCACTTTCTTGTTTACCACTTAGGTACCTATCCTCAAACAATATAGTTTAGTTTTGCCTATTTCTGAACTTTATGTAAATCATACTATATGTACTTATTCGTGCTTTGCTTCTTTTGCTCAGTATTATATTTGTGAGAGCCATGCATGCTGTGGCATACAGCTATAGTTCATTCATTTTCTTTGCTTTATTTTACTCTGTGGTATTTATTCATCCTACTATTGATAGATATTTGGATAGTTTCCAGTTTGGGGTTATTACAAATAGTACTATCCTGAAAACTCTTGTACATGTCTCCTGGGTCACATATGTAGGAGTTTCTCTGGGTGTATTCTTGGGATTATAATTGTTGATCATAGGGTATGCATATTTTCAACCAAGTGTGATTGTTGAACTTAATTTTCACTGCCACTTTTAACCCATGCATTTTGAATGGAAATTTAAAGTCTTTTGTTCTCATCTAAAAAGATTTGTCTTTCCTATAGAAAAATGCAAGAATGGCAGCAGAAAAGCATTATTCTAACACCCTAAAAGCACTAGGAATATCTGATGAGTTTGTTTCAAAGAAAGGCCAAAGTGGAAAAGTATTTGAGTACCTCAGCAATCAAGAAATGAAAAGTTTCACTGAAGATAAAGAAAGGTAACATATATAAGATCTGAATGGTTTACCTTTGAAAAAATTCTTACCTACAGGAAAGCATACTATTCTATGTTGTTTTAAAAAGATCTTTTATCTAATGGAATACATGGGAACTGTTATGAAACATATTGATATTTCAACATGTTTGGCACATTGAAAATATTACATAGGGATAAAGTATTTTGTTTTCAAAGCAAAATAACTTAGATTTCTGACTGACATAAATAATGAAAATAATAGCTTGCTTTCAAATAAAGTTTGAAGACTCAATCACTCAAGTTTTGAAATAGATTAGTTCTCAGGAATATTTAATTTCCCAGTTGGCACTTTTATAGAGTTTTCTTGATAGCAAATTGGAACTCATGCCCTTGAAGACTGGCTACACGATGGCCTACATTGCAAAGGGTCTGTTTACCTTTAAAACTCATTTTCCCTTTGAAAGATTGATAAATTTTTTCCTCTAGCTTTAATGAAGAAGAAAAACTAGAAGAAAGAGAGAATGAGGAAGAACATTATCTTGTTGATACCAACAGCCAGGATTCTTGCAAGGAAAAAGATGAAGCTGATGAAGAAAGTGGAGAAGAGAAATCTGTTGAAGAATAAAACTGAATCAGCAAGGCCTCCTCTCTATGCCCTTGCTGTTGTTTGTAGTATGGGGGAGTCAGTAGCCACATTTGTGAGTTTAAGAACATCTAGGGGACACCTTGACAATATGCAGAGCAGTTGATTGAGCAAACCCATTTGTAGCCTGAAAGCTGATTGGTCATTTGGTCAGTTAGGGTAAGTAAGGCTTTGCCTATTCGGTTGTGGTGATCACTACATGTGGTCTGTTTACAACTATGATCTTCCTTGTATTTTTAAAAAGTGTTTGAGAATCACAGCTGTCACAAACTGATTAGTTATAAAAATATACATCATTATTTTTGGTGGAAGAAAATGGCTTAGTATTGAGAGTAGAGGAGAAGTATTAGCCTTTAGTGATTTCTTTTTTAAGAATTCTCTGCCAAGCATGAATCAATAAATATTTTTAAATAAATTATTTGCCCATTCTTTTTCTCTGCAATACATTTCACAAAATGAATTCTCAAACTTGTTTTGTTAAGTGATTTAAGTTTCTTATCTGAGCCATTTTAAAAAGTAATAAAATAGAGAAAAATAGATAACTTGCAAATTTACATTCATTCCTGCACTAAGAGTTTACTGTTAAATTATTTTCTTTTTATCCCTAGTTTTAGTCTAAATTTTTTTTTTAAGCAACAGGATCTCACTCTTTCCCCCAGACTGAAGTGCAGTGGTGTGATCATAGTTCACTGCAACCTTGAACGCCTACGCTCAATTGATCCTCCTGCCTCAGCCTCCCAAGTAGCTGGGACTACTGGTGCACACCACCATGCCTGGCTAATATTTCAATTTTTTTGTAGAGACTGGGTCTTGCTAAGATGCCCATGCTGGTGTCCAACTCCTGGCCTCAAGTGATCCTCCTGCTTCAGCCTACCAAA